ATAATAATAATTATATATTATAATAATAATTATTAAATATTATAATAATAATAAGTTGAATAAATTGTAATTAATTATAAATTCTAAAAATAATATTAATAATATTAATAATTATAAATTATAAATTCTAATAATAATAATTATTATAAGAAATAATAAGAATTTTTAATAATAATTATAATTATAATTAATTATAATAATAATTATAAATTAGAATTAATTATAATTAATAGTAATAATTATGAGGGTCAGCCAGATAGTTCGCGACTCCATGGAGTCCTCCCGTACGGTGAGCATGGATTTTATTATCCTGGCCAGTGAGGCAGTTCGATTCCCCCGGCACCAGAACCGTACGATCAGTCGGGATATGCTTTTTCCCGCTACGCAGGGAAGTCGATACCTCCTCGCGCACGCGTACCATTACCTTATGGTCAGCCCCGGTACGCTGATGAGTCGTACGGCGAGAGGGAGCAGGGTCCAGAGGAGTGTGACTCGGACGACTCCTCAGATGATCAGGACCACGCACAGCCTACGGGTCCTAGCCACCCTCGTCCTCCTGTTCAGCCTGTTCGTCCGGTACAGTCGGTTCTACAGTAGGTTCGTCCAGTACAGGCTGTTCTTCCTACACAGGCTGCTCCTCAACGACAGGCTGGGGGCATTTTGGCCCATCTGCATCCTCATCAGGTAAATAATTTACGTATTTATTGTTGTTTAACATAAATTATTTTCACTTAATCATAACAAATTATCGGTACTGTTAGAAAAGTATTATCGGCCTGCTCCTCAACTACGGTAAAATTATTTTGTAATTTAGAGGAACCATACAATTAATTAGTTAGAAAATTATTATAATTATTTTTATTATTGTTATAATCAATTAGTATTAATGTTACATAATAAATTAGTTTAGAATTGTCATTATATTTTATTAATGTAAAATGTAACATTTGTACATTAATTGAAAAAAAAGAACGGGAAACTTATGAAATATGTTTTATTAAATATATTTTATTTAATGCATCTGCCAGCAAGCCTATATATACAGAATGAAAGCGGTCGAGAATCTGAGGGATTGGCGTGATGAGATGTCTTCCAATGCGAGAGCTCTGATCGACAAGACCGGGCTGTCACATTTGGCCGACTCCATGCACATCCACTTGGACACCCCACTCCTTTCTGCGTTTGTAGAGCGATGGCAGCCGGATACTAACTCGTTTCACCTGTCTTTTTGTGAAATGAGCATCATGCTGCACGACGTCCGGGCCATTTTGGGCGTTCCTGTGGAGGGAGCCATGGTCGCTGAGGACCCGGATTCAGACGCCTGCCATGGGCTCTGCATGTCGATACTTTCGGTCACCAAGGGCGAACTCATGAGTTCGTTCGGTGACCGAAGCCTCCATTGTGGGGTTATTCAGGGGGAAACGCCGGCCGACTAGGGATGAGGCGGGTGCCTGGATGTGGGTGATGCTGGCTACCACATTGTTCGTCGACAAGAGTGGTAGTAGAGTGACCCCCAAGCTCCTGAATGAGGTGCTCGACGGCTTGGATTTGATTGGGGGTTACTCATGGGATCGGCTACGCTAGCATACATGTACAGACAGCTAGGTATTGCCTGAACGAGGTGCTCGACGGCTGCGGGACTCTTCTGCAGTCCTGGATATATGAGTATTTCTCCGATTTCCGACCCCATGGGCGTCTACCCATCGGTCCTGATGATGTCGCACAATCTCGCTCGTAGAGAATAGGGAATGCGCCAAGGTCAAACGATCGGCTCACAGCCATCCGTCGTCGCCTCGACAGACTCACTGCCTCCGATGTACGTGAAGTTATTATATTTAAATTTAGTTACCCGTCATTTAAAATAATATCATTATTTTTATAAGTGGTTTTATGCAATTGTGAACAGGTGCAATGGTTGCCATACGGCAGCTCCAGCCCAGATGCGAAAAAGACGAGGACTCTTTATAGCGGATTGATTCGATACCGCAATGTTTTCGAGCCGTACTTGCATGCGCGGTGTCTGCGTCAGTTGGGGTATGTCCAGACTATCCCTCCCCCTACATACCCGCCAATCAGTGCAGTACGTGCTTGGGAGTCTAGGAACTATAGGGTTGAGCATTCTGAGGCTGTTGCAGTAGGTGCCTGGACCCAGTTCCCGATTTCTGGGACGGTCAACACCGCTATGTTAACCCCCACCACGCATGATCGCGGGGAGGCGACTGAGGATTACTTGTAGTGGTACAGTCCGGTTTCCCATCCGACTCTCATGGGCGAGGAGCTGCCGGACGAGAACGAGGTCCCTACGCGTGTCAATACCGCCTATGTAAGTTGGTTACTAAATTTTAATTAATGTTATTTCATTACAATAAATTTTAGTCATATTTTTTTATTCTTCCATTTTTTTAGTGGATGGACCGTCTTTTGGGCATTACATCGACCATGCAGCAGTTCCTTGTTGAATGTCCAGAGGCGGCGCAAGTCCAAGGAGATTTTGCTAAGTTTATGGATTACGACAATGCCCAATAATGATGTAATGAATGTTTTTTTTTATTATTATTGTAAAACATTAAGTTGAATGTTTTTTTATTTATTTATTATGTGTAAAACATTAAGTTGAATGATTTATATTAAAAATGAAAAAAAAGTACCGTTAATGTGATTTTCGATTGCTCTTTAACATGATCATATGTTCCTGCGCTTCGAGACAGGCTCGTTATCCTGAGAGTCCCGATGGGTCGACTCAGGAGAACGAGTCTGTCTCGAGCGCAGGGACATACGTTCGTGTACAGAACAATCTCATTAACGGTACTTTTTTTTCATTTTTAGTATATAAACCATTCAAATTAATGTTTTTTTATTTGCTAAACTTAAGTTGAATGAGTTTTTTTTTTCTTTTTCTTTTTTTNTACTGATCCTCCCAACCCACAACCGATCGATCTCGGTAACGGAACCACATGGGATGAATAGGCGGTAATGGACAATCATGAGTCAAATCTAAATGAATGTAGTGTTCTACGATACCAAGATGACACATGACAATCTCACGACATGGTCCTCTAGCCGATGATCGTGCAATGAGAGGTAACATTGTGAGGTTGAAGAAGTTGTGCTACCCACCTTGCGGACCAAAGCCCAACAGAACGACAACTGCATTAAATAGGGTCGCAACGGCGTAGAGGTCCTGCGGAACTTCGAACCAGTTAGCTCGTCCACAAGGGCCCCGGCCCCACCTTACGCGACGGAGTCCAGTTTCGATATCTCTAAAATAGATGTACTCGTACAATCCACGGTGGCCGTCGACCTCCTTCGCAATGTTGTCTCTTGCATCTGCCCAGTACTTCTGGTGACCACACACGTGACTCGCGATGACCCGAAATCCGCAGTTACCATCCGCCTCCACATTCAGGTAACTCTCTATGTAGTCTAACATATGCTAGGGGATATTTTGCCACATTGAAATTCAAATATATTTGTTGGTCTAAACTCTGCAATATCATAATAATTTCACGTCACAATTTATATAATCATATAAATACTTTAATTAACGCTCAGCCATATTTAAGAAAAAAAAAAATGTATCACCTGCTTCCCCTTGTGACTGTTGAGAAGACGAGTTTGTCTGTCCACGCGAAGAAGTGGTCGTACGGCTCGATTTCCGACCTCGCGATCTATCGTTGTTCTCCCAAGCACATGGTTTACACTTAGTTGAATTAGTTTTCTTGGGACAACCTCGCGGGTTATCCTTAACCTCAAGTTCCGCATAATCCTGTTGGTCTGGGTAAAGATGACTGTACATGAACTGATTCACGTACCGCATCGTCGCGAGATCGCGGGTTTCAACCTCACTCACAAGTAGGGATGTCAATTTGGCCTGGACCCGACCGGACCTGGCCCGACCTGCAGGCTTTGGGGTGAGTTGGACTCGCCCCGTTACCAAAACAGGCCAGGGCGGGTCTGCTCCGTTGCATAAACGGGCCAGCTCCGGGGCATAAATGTTGGCCCGCCCCGATCTGCCCCGGCCCTCCCCAACCTGGCCCAGTCAATATTGTTAGTAAAAATTGGGATAAATAAGATGTACACATTAATTTTCCTACCAACCTTTTCTACTTTTCTTTTTTCTCCCCACTCTCTCCCATCACTCTGGCGTCACTTCCTCCATCATCTATTCTTTTTTTTTTCTCTTTCTCACACTTTTAATTCTACTTCCAGCAGATTTTCTTCTCTGATTTTCTTTTTCTTCTCTCTTTATCTTTTTTCACTCACAGATCTAGAGAACTCTTTAATTCTCCTTCCATCAGGTTTTCTTCTTTATTTTTTATTTTTCTTCTCTCTTCACATACTCACAGATCTATGGTTGGGCCGTTGGGGGTTGCACCATCTGAAATGGTTGGGAGGCGAAGGCCGCGAGCCACGACACGGTTAGGAGACGACCAGTGGTGTCACTTTGGCTAATAGAAGCAACTATTGTGATGATTAGTTAGATTTTTGAGGTTTATTTTGCTTAATTTTTGTATATCCTTTAGAAATTTGCAGTTGCGGTCTTTTAAATTCAGAACTTACAGAGCTGCCTTTTGGGTGAGATATGGCTGCAAAAAAAAAAAACATACAGGTCAGGGTGGGTCGACCCACCCCGACGCGGGCCAGGTCTCGGGGCCGTCTTGGCGGACCCGTAGCGAGGCACGGGCCAGGTCGGGCCACGTGGGTAAGGTCGCGGGACAGGTCCGGGCATGGCACTACCCAGCCCGACCTGGCCCATTGCCATCCCTACTCACAAGCGTCTGAAAGAACTCCGCATCTGACCATGCAGCCTGGCTCGCCTGGCTCTGATGACCAGTCCCTACAAGTATACGATAAAAAATTCAATGAATTAAACCAAATAATGTACTTTAATTACATAAATTGTAATTGAAAATGAAGCAGCAAGTAGAAAATTATAAATAAAACATTAACCTTAAATTACCTGGCTTTAACATCTGTAGCGTTCTCCAGAACTGTTTCGCCGACCGGCCGAACTTTTCGGACGTTTTTAGCCCGTCCGAACTGGCCGGCCGGACGTCTTAAAAGCCGTCCGGTTCCCGAGGCCGGACGGGCTAAAAGCCGTCCGGTTTTGCCGGCCGGACACAAAAATTTTCATACCTCGGAATTTGACGACATTTCACCGTACACTTTCCTCTGAGATGTTTAGAAAAAATGAAAAGGGCAAAATCGTCCAAGGAGGGCGGTGACTAGTAAAAGGGGGGGAGGGGGGGGGGGGNGTAAATAGTACCACCCTTTCTAATTCTAGTCTTCTTGATATGTATATGTACTAGGAACCTATCGGTTGTGCGTAGCACAGTCGGCCCATAATGTGTATTTATTTTATTTTAATATTAAGTGAATAAATAATTTTTAATTTAATAACATGGAGTATGTAAGAACAAAAATAAAAAAATGTGCAAATATTATTTGGGTTCTTATGTACATTGGAATATGTTTTTACAGTACATTTCAATGGATTTTTTTAATATGGATATGAAAGACCAAAGGTGGTTTAAAAAGAAAGTATATCTTCTGATTGAATGATGTATTAGCCGGCCCATGAGTAATGTATTTTTCATATGTGGTAAGTATCCGTAACAAATGGTGGTTGAAAATTCCGTGTTAAAAGAAAGAAAAAAAAATCGAGAGAGATATGAAGTATTTGTGATTTTTGATCTTCTTTTTCGATAATTTCAAAATGTGATAGATGAGATGTTTAATGAGCATCTCTTAAGTTAAAATAAGAACAAATGCCGTGGCCATAGTAAGGAAAAATAAAGGATTTAATATTCTACAAGACAATGAGAAATAATTGAGATATTGCCTAATGAAAGTGACATTCAATGAATAATATTAATGGATATAACATCAGCCTTTGTCTAATGTAATGAGGAAGAGAAATGGAGTGCAAGACTTGAATGAAAAGGATGGGAAAACTATCTATACACTTCAAAGAAAAACAAATATACATTATCTATCAAAAGGGACATGAATTTGACTTTTAAGGAGGCTAAAACGTATGAAATGATGAATTTAGGATCTCATCCTAATTTGATTTAAAAAATATAATACTCTAAGGTTTTGATAAAAATGCATCAAAAACAGATGGAAACGAATCGCGACGCAATAAAAGACTGGAGAATTAAGTCGTAGTTACAGTGGTAGTGCGATCTATATTGTCGGTTTCATTGTTGTTGGCCGATCATAACACTAATTCACCGCTCCAGAGTAAATATATTTTACTGCAAATTATGCAACCCGTCAATAATAATATAAATAATCATCACAGTAATTAATGTGGTATTATTATTATTATCGACATCTCAAATCTTCTTTCGGTTGCCATTAATGCACTTTAAGTTTGGGTTTTGACAGTGTTATCGCATATGTGTCAGTCACATAGATTTTAGTCGTATCTCATATGCTTAATTTTTCTATAAATAGACTGTAAATCCTAAATGTTCCTCTAAAATGGTCCGAACTCAGAAATGAATTTAGCACTGTCAAAAATTCGAAAATTTTATTCCTTCCTTCCAATTAATATCATAAAAAGAGTTTATCGAGCTCGAGTACAAAGATTGAGAGTGCTAATGGTCAATAATATCCCAAATGATATTCGATGATTGATTGAAGCAAAAGTTCGATTATCTGGCGAGTTTCCAGATGCATACAGATATATGACAGGTATGGGTCGAAGAACCCTTTGCAAAGAAATGAAGAGCAAAAAGAATAGGTGGCTGTTATAAGTGTGCTCGTTGGAATTGTGACACATGATGTATGTCTGTAGGATTTGTGTCTAAAAATCGAGAAGATAAAATAGCTTTCATAAAGGATGGTTTGAGTAAGGAATCTCTGGATCAAACAATCCAGCAAATTCTTGAGACACATCCTAGTGGTTATGTACATCGAGAGCTGATGTATTTATGGATTCGGTTCAAAAATGAAGAAGAACGCTATAGTGTTGAAAATATTATTTCGAAGGATCAGGTTTGCTAACACGGTTCTTGTTAATACAATTTAATAAGACATACTATACAGAAAATCTTATCGCAATTGACAGATAAGATTCATTTAAGACTGAACGACTTATTTGTCGACAGCTTTTTCTTTTAAAAGGAGAGTAACTCTTCATAGCAATGTGTCTCTCAAAATAAATGGCTACTTCAGAGTTTTCTGAGGGTAGTACACTTCTTCAACCAATCAAAACCGTGTGTGTTCTTGGTAGTTCTAAATTTGTAAATTTTCCTCATACTATCAATATTGTAAGTGAACTGGTGAGAGAGTTGGGGAAACAAAAGATCAGCTTATTGTATGGAGGGATTAGCATCACTTTCTTTGATAACCTTTTAATGGCTGCAAAATGTTTTCGTATAGAGGTGAGAAGTATCATCCGTTTTTATATCACTTCGACAAAGGTTGTCAAAGATTCTACAAGTTTGATGCTAACTTTTTCTATTTATGAATGTATGATGGCTATGGTAAATGGTAGCGATGCTTTCATCGTTCTTCCTGGTGGTTATGGAACATTAATGACTGTCTTTACCATGGCTACTTGGGCAGAATTGAAACTTCATAACAATGGGTCTTTTGAATTTCATTAACTTTTTCCAAAATTTGCTTAGATTTCTGGATGAAGGAGTGTATCAAATTTTTATATCTCCTTTAAAGAGAGAAATGTTCAAGTCTGCAGACACACTCGCTGCACTTATCAAAAAGCTTCAATACAGCATCACAGTTCAAGAATTTGTGGAAACACAAGGAGTCAAACGCAAAAGAGCTTTTGATTCTTTAGATCTCTCATTGTGATCCTATATAACCATAATGGGCGGCAGAGTTACGGAGTCTTGTACTCTTGAGACGCACCCTTCCTTTATGTAATATTTTCGTGTATTTCTTGAGAATTCACTACTACTTACCTGTATTTCCATCTTGTAATGTTTGTGTACTGCTTTGTTAGTAATAATAATATCCTTAACAGTGTGTTTGAATGTTTACGAATGATTTTTTAATCCCTCATTCATATGATGTCTTAGAAAAATCATGGCTTTTGCTTTTTCTTGTATGGATGAATCATTTGGGAAATTATTGTTTTTCGCAATCCCATTGCATCCAAATGAATTTCAGCATCTAATATTCATGAAATGTAATCTTTTCCAATTATGTGAAGTGCCTCAAACTCGAGCTTCACCAATTTTGACATGGTAACTATAAAATACAACATCAATGCTTAGATTTAAGAAAATTACAAATACAATCATACATTATTCAAACTGATGAGAACAACTAATAAGAAACACATTAAAAAAAGACCTAACATATAAAATACAAATTCAGCAGTATGATACAACATCGTGAAAATTCCTAAAGCGTATATAATAACCAATATAATGGTAATTATAAGCAATAGATCAAACATATTTTTTCTAGATGAGAATATATTGTAATATTTTGGAATGAGTGTTAATGTATGAAGTGAAGTGTTATATATATATAGATTGATAAATAGCCGTTGAAAAAAAGCCGTTAAGTAGCCGTTGGATTTTTTTTTTTAATAAAAACTCATTATTGATATAATATTTGTTAATTATATCATTCATGAAAATTTAATTAATCATGCATATCAACTTAAAATTTTTCTGGGTTACTTAGTTAACATTTTAGTGAATACAAGTAACAAACAAAAATGTCAGTCCACACTACTCGATAATTCTTTCGGTCGGTACAAAATCCAAACTTGTTCATGCGAACCTGTCCGCCACTGGTGTGGTTGACCTCAGGCTAATCTGGAAGGCATGTGGATGCTCTCTGGATCAAATCGTCAAACACCATGTGGACCCCCTTGAGATCCTACAGCTTCAGCGCCTCTGTCGTCTGCTCCTTGCTCTGGAAATGGATCATGGTCCTCTGTATCTGCCGCACAATCCCGAATAATTGTTGAGGTACGTCTCTGCCCCTCGTTTTCCTATCGACACTCTCAAGCCTGGCCAGATCTTCCCTTTCAACATTCCGGATGAGGCTCCTCGCGGCCTCGACTTCCTCGATTCCCGGCCAGTCGTCAGTACAAATACTTTTGTGTAGACAAATAATTAATTGTGTTTGATATAGGATATTATATTGGACCGAGTTTAATGCATAAAAAGGGAATATATTGAAGAATAAGCCCACACATGGTTAGGACATGTGGCATGATGCTATTAGACAAGTCCAACTTGGGCCCTAAGGTACACTCCCCTTATAAAAGGGGGCTAAGGTATCTCATTCTCTCATTCTCTTTACATTCATTACTATACACTTAGGATTTGGAGTTTTGGAGTGATTCTGACTTCAGCGTCGGAGGCCCGACGCTGGGACCCCTCCCAGCGTTGGGTTCTTGCAGGTACGGTGGTCGTTCGAGTTGAAGGAGCCTCGGTGAAATCATTATTCACTTCACACTTCTTCCTTGTGATCCATGTACCTGTGGATTCTTCATTCAGCATATACAATATAGAATGAAAAAATAAATTTCATTGTTATATATACCATTGTTTTAAAACAGGTGACCGAGGAACTGGTGGGTTGACCATTATACCGCTGACATATGTTGTTGTTAGTGAGAGCATTGCTTGTGATAGAAATGTTTATTGTAAGCAATGAGATATTAGACAATCATATATAGTTGGATGTTAAATATTTATATATAAGAAAAAAATTTCATCATAAAAATAATTATATGTACAATTAAGAATAGAAGGAAAACAAATACTCACAATTAAAAGTAGTGACCTTGACTCGTATAGCGATAACAATATTACCAGTAGGAATTGTGGCTGCCAAATCTTCACCTTCATGTGATGCAAATTCATTCCAAAGAGTGAGTATCATTGGCTTGTTTCTGAATGAAAGACATCAATGTTAGAATTAATTACAATATTTGTGTTGGAAAAAATACAAGTTTTTTCTTTTTTAAATGTATACTTACTCTTCATTCACAATAACCAGATCTGTTGTGTTTGATTGTGAGGACATATTTTTTTTTGGTAGTGCGTGCACAACAATGCCCATGACATCTACAAAATGAAAGAGTGAAGTAGAGTTTGAAGTGCAAAATTTAAAATATAATTTTTAAAATAGCTAAGGCACATGACTTGTGTGTAACTAAATGTGACATAAAAATATTATATTTTCGAAGTTATGCTAGATCTGAAATAATGAATTACTCACTCTGAAAATTTTCCGTCTCTGCAAAGGATACAAGATTTTCATACTGGTCGAGCTGTATTGTGCAAGGTAGAATTGGCGGCAATGATTCTGGATATGCTTCAACAAGAGAATCGTAACGTATTTTCCATGGGAATGCATAATTGCTAATTTGATATTGTGGGTTTGCCGGCTGCACTTGAACTCCAGATACATAGTACCTTTTGTAAGGGAAGATACGTGTGTCGAAAAATTGGACCTGGTTTCCATAAGTTGTCGCTTGAACAAGTGTTCCCTGTTGCACAAAATGATAGAATTTATCCCTTCATCATTTTTGAATGGCTAAATTTATTGTCATATATTTTATGTCTTACCTGTATTCACCACACATGCATAAATTTAAGTACAACTATTCAAATGTCTGAATCAGTGAATATATGCCTCGGTAAGGAGTCCGCCTTCCCGATTTTGCAATCTGAACATGACCTTTTTCAACAACTTGCACAATAACAGTCCAACCTTCCGTCTCAGTGTCGACTTCACTAATTTTTAGAAATTTTCGTGACATGATGCTGCAGACAACATGAATATAAACTAAAAATAATTAAACCATTACAATGGAGCAACAAGAACAGAAAAATTTATCTTTAGTGGAATAGCAAAAAAAGATATTTTAAACACAATCTGGAAGTAGAAGTTATATACAATGCAATTTAAAAAAATTTAATCAAAAGNTATGAAAAAATCCAAATACATATGCATAAAATAAAACTTATATGTGGGGTAAAATATAAATAAAAATGGAAAAATGATGACAGGTACATTAAGTATAAGAGCGTAAGGAACATAGACCATCTACGATGTTGTAGAAGATTTATTATTTACTCTATTTAGGGTGGCGTAAATTGAGGGGTTTATTGAAAAATAATATCTTACCATAGAGCAAAATGAGTGCAGCATTCAACCAATAGAAAATGATTATAAATTAGAATCCACGAAATTATTAGCATAATAAGCCAACCCACTTCCAATCATGGGCAATAAAAAAAGCAGCATGGAGACAGACCAGTGTTTTGAGATCCGGACCGGCCCGGCGGGTCGACCCGGGACCCGGTTGACCCGGAGCCAGAACCGGTCCGGGTAGAGTATTTGGACCGGGCAATCAAGGATCCGGTCAAAACTCGGCCGACCCGGTAGAGACCCGGACGACCCGGGGCATTGACCCGGCCGAGCCAACCCGGTTGACCCGGTCCATATATATTTTTTTTATTTTTTTTTTGTTTTTTAAAAATAAAAATATGTATATATGTTTATATGGTAAATATTTATCATGAAATACATATTATTAACACTTTAATATACAATTTTATACACAAAATATTTAATTTGTTACTTTTATGTATATTTATATAACAAAAATACTCTATATATAATTTTAAAAATTTTTAAATTAATTATCCGGTTCAGCAATTGACCCGGTGACCCGAAGGTTGAACCGGTGACCCGGTGACCCGAGGACCTGTCCGGGTCGATCACCGGGCCGGGTTTAAAAACTATGAGACAGACTACTAATAGTGGTGGGCAATAAAAAAACCAGGCAAAAAAGATGATGCAACTTATCTCATGTCCATGTCGGGCAGCAAACGAATTGTCAAATGTCTGGTTCACACGTGTATGTGTTAAGCTTTCACTTCTCTTTTTTAACTCAATTGCTATTCACCGCCCCCCCTATTACTACTTACCGCCCCCCTTTGGACAATTTTG